CAACCAGTGTGCCACGGTGTGCCGTGTTCTCTGTGTGTCAGCTGATTGGCCTTGTTCCTCCCGCCTAGCCCAGACATAATCAATGTCTCGCCCTGACCCAGACATGCCAGCACCCTCATTAATTTGCCCTGCTTCCGCCGCTCGTCACCAGACATCGAAGTTCTGATTCCGCCTGGCCTGCTGCTTTTGCTGGTGGTGGTGCTGGGCAATGAGTCACTTTAAGGAAATCCGGATAATAAGTTAGTGCACCTCTTCGGTGAACAATAACAATTATGTTATGAACGGATTCGGCAAATGGGTTAGAACCACTTTGGCAAACGTGTTAGCATAACTTCTACGAATGGGTGCACCCACTTCGGCAAACGGGTCAGGAAAGAAGAGTTAAGAGTCTGAATTCGGATAATGTCTTATTGAGGATTATCCGATTATCCGGATATTTATTCGGATTTTGCCCACTTCTACCTGCTGGTGGTGCTGGTGGTCCAGTGAGGTAGTGTGCTCGCCCTCTTGCCATGTTGGTTGGAAGTAGAGTTCGTAACCTATAGTAGTGAATCTGATGTTTTTGGGGGAAAAAAGGATAAGGGTGGTGACTTTTGGTTGTCTTTTTGAAAATAGGAACTGTCCCTTTGATGTTACAGGTGTGAAGTCTAGTTCAAAACTTATAGAAGTCTTGTAAAGAGAAATAAGGAAAGGTGGTGACTTTTGGTAGCCTTATTGGAAATTATAGCTCTCCCTCTCATGCCATAGGTTTGAAGTCTTGTTCGAAACCTAAAGAAGGGAAGTGTTGAAAAGAACAATAGTAGAAGGTGGCTTTTATTAATTAATCTTTTTTAAAAAAAAATAGTGACTGTCCCTTTCATGCTGTAGGTTTGAAGTCTCGATCAAACCATGGGTGGTTGGTGGGTGCTCTGTAGTGGTTTGCTCCTTTTTACCTATCAAATATTTTATCGTCCTCATTTCTCCTCCTTTTCCTATCAAATATCTATCTTTATCATCTCTCGTCTTTCTTTCCTATCAAATTTAAAATGTATTGTCCTTATCTCTCCTCCTTCTTTCCTATTAAACATCTATCATCCTTATTTCTCGTCCTTTTTGTGTTCCTTACTCTTCTGTAACACCTCAAATCTTCGGCACTTATATAACCTTATTGTGTTGCAAGCGCTGTTAAATACTTACTAGTAGAGCTGAATTGGTTCGAACCTTACATAAGTCGTGTAAAGAGATATAGGAAAAGGTGACTGGGTTTTTTAAAACTAATAACCCTCTTTCTCATGCTCAGTGTAGTTGGTGGAGCCGTATATTCATATATACGTGATGTGAAGAGAAATAATAGAAAGAGATGCTTTTTACTGGTCTTTTTGAAATATGATTCCCAACAACGCTTACATTTATGTTTTGAGGATGTAATGACTCGCCCTCAAGTGCTGTTGCTTCGAAATCCTGTTCGAACCTTATATAAGCGATGTAAAGATAGATGGGGAAATTATGTAGGTTGTTTATTTTAGCCTTTGTGAACGTTTGGCTGACGACCATGCTTACTTTTACGTGTGAAGAATGATGCAATGGCTCTCCAATATGTGCAGGAGGTTTATAAACTGGTTCAAGCCCTGTATTATAAGCTTAGACAATTAATAGGAACAGGTGACTTTGATTTCGTTTTTGGTGAACATTTGGTTTACAACCGTGCCTATACACAGTGGAGCCTGCTCTAAAACGAAAAATGATATTTATTTCCCCATCTGGCTATTCAACAATGTCTATACACAGTGGAGCCTGCTCTAAAACAAAGAATGATATTTATATCATCAGCCAGCTATTCAACAATGTCTATACACAGTTGAGCCTGCTCTAAAACGAAGAAATTATATTTATTTCACCAACTGTTGAAAGCCACGAAAGCAAAATGTTTCAGGACACAGAAAAATGTGTTTCATTACTTTAAAGATTTTACCTATTTCATTCTTATTTTACTAATGTTTAGAATTTGGATTTTGACGAAATTTGTCTCGTACTTCTGCAACCGATATCACAGCTTGAGAGACTGCAATTTAAAAAAGAAAACAAACAAACAAAATAAAAACCCAAACCCAAACATAAAAACAAATCAAAATCAAAATGGTAGGTTTAGTACAGTTGACCCTCTAGCCAACGATTTATCACAGTATGGTGTTATGTCGGGCGGTACTTTATGAGATGAAGGGAATTGCTATCAGTGTTGGGTTTGAACTGGTTCACAGTGGACTGCATGAGTCATAATGGGAAATATTTCTGTCATGTCACTGCTGGATTTCACAGCATGATTTTATCGTCTGTGTGTGTGTGTGTGTGTCGGTCCGTCTGTGTGTCTGTCTATTTGCCTGTCTGTATGTCTGTCTGTCTCCTTGTCACACCCACACACACCCTCCCGCACGCGCACGCGCACGCGCACGCGCGCACACACA